TCATAGTATTCTTTAATAATTGTATTTTTGTGGTGTTGGTTGTGATCTCTTTCATTTGTGATTTTATCTATTTGGGTTCTCTTTTTCTTGAGAAGTCTGGCTAGGGGGTTTTATCAATTTTGTTTACTCTTTTAAAAAAACAGCTCTTAGATTCATTAATCTGTTCTACTGGTTCTTTTGGGTTCTGTATGGTTTATTTCAACTCTAATCTTTATTATTTCTCTTCTTCTGCCGGCTTTGGTCTTTCTTTGCTACTGCCTTTCTAGCTCCTTTAAGTGTAAAGTTAGGTTGTGTATTGGGGACCTTTGTTGCTTCTTGAGATAGGTGTGAATTGCAATGTATTTTCCTCTTAGAACTGCCTTTGCTGCATACCAAAGGGTTTAGACTGTCAAAATGTTTTCATCTTCATTTGCCTCTATATATTTTTTTAATTTCTTCTTTAATTTCCTGGTTGACCCGTTCATTCTTTATTAGAATGTTCTTTTTTTTTTAAAGTTTTTATTTATTTATCCTCAGAGAGACAGAGACAGCATGAGCAGGGGAGGGGCAGAGAGAGAGAGAGAGAGAGAGAGAGAGAGAGAATCCTAAGCAGGCTTCATGCTTCCAGCACAGAGCCCAATATGGGGCTTGAACTCATGAACCATGAGATCATGACATGAGCCAAAATCAAGAGTTGGACGTTTAATCAGCTGAGCCACCCAGATGCCCCTAGTAGGATGTTCTTTAACCTCCATGCATTTGAGGGCTTTCCACATTTTTCTGTAGTTGATTTCAAGTTTCATAGTGTTGTGACCTGAAAATAGGTGTGGTATAATAATCTCAGTCTTTTCATTCTTTTTGAGGGATGTTTTGTGATCCAGCATGTCATCTATTTTGGAGAATGTTCCATGTGCACTCGAGAGGAATGTGTATTCTGCTTTTGGATGAAAAGTTCTGAATATATCTGTTAAGTCCATCTGTGGTCCAATGGTCATTCAGTGCTGTTGTTTCCTTATTGATTTTCCGCCTAGATGATTGTTGTAAGTGGAGTATTAAAGTCCCCTATAATTATGGTATTATTATCTGTACATTTGTTTACATTTGTAATTAATTGATTTATATATTGGGTACTTTCACGTTTACAATTGTTAGCTCTTCTTGATGGATAGACCCTTTAATTATGATATAATGTTTCATCTCTTATTACATTATAGTCTTGGTTTGAAAATCTAGTTTGTCTGATATAAGTATGGCTACTCTGGCTTTCTTTTGCCATCCATTAGCATGATAGATGG